AAGAATAGCTAATATTTTGATAATAACGTAATTGCTATAGAAAATAAACTTTTTTTTTCCTATTTAAAGGTCAAAAGGGTAAGTTATTCTAACATATTCGGTGACAAAAAGTTACATAAAAATAACTTTATTTTTTTAAAAAATTAAGACGTATATGTTTTAACACTTTTAGTTAATTTTAGATGAGATAGCTTCCACTGGCTTCTGTATATTTCTTGGCAATTCTCTTATTTCTTGGAAAGATAAGAAGCAAGATACCATTTCTAGATCTTCCACGAAAGCAGAGTATTGTGCCATGACTTCTATTACTTGTGAGACCTCTCTTCCTGAAAGGAAGAGCGTGAAATTCTTTTTCCTTTTCACAGGGACCAGGAGATTGGATTAGTTTGGTTATATTGGTTGCTTGTAAATATGGGTGTATATATTCATCGACCTACTTCATTGTATTGTGACAATAAAAGTACTATTTAAATTTTGTGCCATTCAGGATTCCATGAGAGAACCAATCATATTGAGATTGATTGTCATGTCACTCGACATCATCATTAGCTTGATACTATCATGTTATCTTTTGTTCTTTTCCGCCATGTAGAATGTTGACTTGTTTACAAAATCACATTATATTTCACGATTTTGTTTTTTGTTTGACAAACTCTCGATGCTTCTTGTAGCAGCATCATGATGGATTTAAAACTTCTTTTTTGGTGAATCAATTGCGAAATCTTTTTCTAGAATGACCAAATACACATCAAAATTAAGCAAGGAATCCCCATTTGAATGATTCACAGTCAATATCATAATTCGAGTCTAGATGATTGCTTATTCATAGGCTATTATAGCTTATTCGAAAAAGGCCTTGTTCTTTAGAAGATCTATCTCGTATCTGGTACTGCATGGTTCCAAATTGGATTTTATCATTTCTATATCGGCAATTCAATATCCACACTCTTTGGCTCTACCCATGAATTATCCAGTAATATGTCTTTCACAATGAGATCATTCTTCAAATTCTACTAATTCACCCGCCTTGAATACCTAAGCACTCCAAGATTCTCACGAGTCCGTCTCGAATAGGGTAACCTTTTGAACTGTTGCTGAACCCCCGAAACCTACTTTCTTTTCTGACAAAATCAACCAAGCCTAAGCGGTTACTGGGTCGTACTCTTCTTTGGTGTTAAGGTAATAGCTATGAATAGTCATTGACTTTCGCTCTTTAGCACGATATTTTGAGTCTTGCGTGTTTACCATTTCACCACCAAGTTGGTCTCGAGGGACGGAGGAGGCTAGGTTAGCCGAAAGCTAGTTATCGGTTATAAAGAAATTTGAATTAGATTATTGTATATTGATCGAAAAATCAATTAGATTGATTTCGTACCCTTCGTTCAATGAGAAAATGGGTAGAAGTTAAAATTTGTCTTTATTGAAAAATCGAAGAAAAAGTCCTTTCATTAGAATGAAATATACGATCAACCAACATTTATCGGACCGGAGATTAATTTAGCCAATCAGTCCTATCCTGTGGCCTTGGAAATAATAATTTATATTGGATTAGAGTCTGAACCCTCGATTCACACATTGAAATTCTTGGATAGTCGCCATAAATCCGGCTTACCCCATTTCCAAAGTTTTAGGGGAGATTTTAAATATATTCAATTTATTTAAGGGAAGATTAATCATTTTATTTAAATCTTAGTAAGGTTATTTAAACCTTTATTTTCCTGTATTTTCAATTAATTGATCGATGAAGAAACCCTAGCCTCCCCTTCACTTTTCTCTCTACTAGTTAGTGTTGAACGTGCAACTCTATAATGCTTTATAAGTACAGTGAAAGTAATATTTGAAACCCCCCTCCCCCATTTACCATTTTGATCTAAATATGAGAGAAATGCAAGTCCTTGAAAATGATTATTATACATGCAAGAAAATAGTAAAATGCACTTAAATGTGAGCATTAGAATTACAACTAAATGCATAATTGAAGATGAAGGGCAAATACAATACATGGATTGATGTGAATATTATTAATTTAGAATTAAGACTAAGGAATATATTCGTGACAATGAAAGTTAAATCATTTATACTAAATGAATATAGCAATAGGGGGCGCCACATGACCCCTTGGACTTCCACGGGGTTGTCACCCAAGAATAGCTCATCAATTTAACATCCACAATTCGGAGATTAAAAAGAAATGAAAGAGGTGAAGAAAAGGAAAAATGTTCGTTTTATGTGTAAACTTGCCATCCTGTTGGATAGTTTGTCTTCCTCTTTAACAGTCTTGCAATACAAAGAGTTGATTGAATGATGCTGCTGCATAGATATCTCGGCTAAATTCCCCTTGGTCTCACCATGGCGGAATTCCGCAAGTTGGGCTTCCATTTTCGAGCCACAAACCGAGTAAAACAAGTTGAATGAAGTGCGAAGGCCTACAGCTATCAAATCCAGAAGAAATCATTCTTAAGAGGTACACCATGAGGGTGAAAGAAAAGAAGGATCATCGTGTTAAGGCCATGTGAGCCCGGTTTGCGTAATACTCTTCAAAATATTTGATGCTCTTTTCATTGAGAATCTCGAGTTTTTCATTTCAAAGGTTTGTTTCTAGTGCTTGAAGAAGTTATTTGTCTTCTTCTTGTTGGTTGATCCAATTCAAGAAACAGCATTGGAAGTTGGTGTTGGAAAATTACGCCGATATTGTGCATATCATATTCACAAACACATGTCATTTATGTTCACGAAATCTAAATGCAATTTCATCTTATCGAAATGGATTTGGGAAGATGAAACGACAGATTCAATCATTTCATTTCTTTATTTCAAACCTACATGAAATCAAAATAATGTTATTAATTTTCTGAAATCAAATACGAAAAAAGAAATAAAAAAGAGTCAAGGTGAGATGCGAGTGATGCGATCAGTCGAGGCAAGTGTTAAACACTTTGTCCTTAAGATGAATTTGCCTCGCATTGGTGCTAACAATTTTTCGGCAATCATCTCCCAAGATATAACGACCACGTCAAGCCATTGGAGCACTCCAAATGACTTCGATCAACGAACTCGAACGGAATTCCCTCTCTATCATAACCATGACTTTGATGCAAGTGTTTTATGCAAACTAAAGTGTAAGATGGAATGGAATGATATGGAACTATCTATTGACTTTCATGAATTTCTTGAATAATAAAATTCAAACATATGGGCTCTATATATAGTAGTTGGAAAGGTATGTGAAAAGACACAATCATACCAAGAGTCACATCTCTTGGAATTTATTTCTATACATTAAGAAACACAATTATTAGAAATTAATCATACCCATACTAAGAGTCATGATCTTTCACATGAAAAGACACACTTTTCATCCACATATTTCTAGAATATTCCACAATATTCTATACGATTTTCCAACAATTTTAAGTATTAAGCGGCTTACATTTGGTTTAATTTCTCATTCACCAAATAACGAATTCCACTTAAATAATTATATAAAATTGTTCATAACCAATTTTCAATAAAAAAATTTCCAACAATTCCCCACATGAATGAAAATTAATGCAAATGTCTATGCAGACACTGGTAGAGAGAGCGAAAAAATACTGCATCAGATAAGGTAACTTTTGACTTTGAACCTTCCTTAGTGAAATACCATCGGATTTACTAGTTAATTAGTGAACGCGATGTTCTTGAACCATCAGTCGTTGGTGTAAACCAAGACAATAGTACTCACACAATGTCTCTCATAAATCGTTCATTGTTCTCATAACTCGGTTCATTTTGGCCCTAAACCCATCTTGGTTCTGTAAGTGTTTAAAGAATTCAAGCCTTAAATAATTCTCATTGAAACGGCCCCACTTCACACTTACATAGATGATCTCCTATTAAGAGTATTTTACCCTACTCCACTTGACTTAATCAAGATATAAGAATCATTAAAAGTTTATCTTAACCTCCAACCACTCTACAGAAAGTACTTTGATATCATAGGAATGAGTTAGGAAATTAGTTTCCTAAGTGATTCATGAAATCCTCATAACTTAGTTGTCCTTTTGAACCAAGATATTGGGATCTCCAGTCAACATGGTAGGGTTACCATCATAAGAACTTTTACTCAATAGGCTTAATCTCATTCCCTTCGATATGCAATATTCTTGATCTCTTGGTAAATATATATAAATGGATCCACAAGTTTACACCAATGAGATCAACTGCTTATGGTATTATGTCTACGACGTACATGTCTAGACTTACCATTACATATGACTTAGTATCTTTTCAAATTTTTCTAGCCAATGATCGATTCAATTTTTCTCTTCAAAATATTTGATGCTCTTTTCATATTTACTGATGGATTTCATACATAAGTATTCAATATAATCATTAAAGTATTGCAATGCATTTGAACTTTATGAATATTCTCTAATATTCTAATTGTTCTTGTATATCCACATAACCGTCATGATCAGCTTTCATCCCATTTCATCCACTTTAGGGCTTTCACCCATTTTCATCCATAGACTTAGTGTATACTGATAAGTGTGTTTTTACACACTTATTTAGGTCACAAACATGACTTAATAACGAGCAAAATGATTGAATTATGACTTAATCTCGTTACATTTGTGAATTGTAGGGAACATCGATGAACACTGTGAAATTCAGGAGAAAAGACGCAAAAAGGACTAAAATGACACAAAGTGAAAGTTCAGGGACCAAGGTACAATTATCCAAAAGTTGACCCGATGTACAAATTGAGAAATTGATTAAGCCAAATGCCAATTGATGATATTTTGGGATGATGGAATGGAAAGAATGAAGAAAAGATGTCAAGAAGTGAAGGATTCAAGTAAAAGGACCAAAATGAACTTTTTCCATAGTTGGACCGCATAGTGCTACCCTCTATGCGGCCACATAGAGGCAAACCGAGAATTATTTCTCACAAATCAAACGCTCTATGCGACCGCATAGAGATGCTTTTTTGGCCAAATCCGTAGTTTCCTTATTCCGCCGAAACTCTTATGGAAACAATCTTTTTAGGGTCCTATATAAATGAAAACTCGACCAGAACGAAGGGGACACCGTGTTTACAAGAAAAAAAGGAGATTTTGAAGGAGAAAATGAAGAGAGAACAAGAGGAAAACATCACGCCAAGTGAAGATTCGATTGAAACTTGATTCGGGTGATGACGTTTCTTCAACTATTTTTGTACTTTCTTATTTTTAGAATGTTAGGCTAAATTTTTTATTGCTAGGAGATCGATGAACCTTGTAATATTGCGTTTGATTTTTTATTTGGATATATTTAAACGCATGTTCCGGAATTGAATGATTTATTACGTTTTTATTTTCATATTATTATTGTACACGTAATTATATGATTTTGGTGGCCTATTTTATGCATTCGAAAGAAGGAAAATAGGCTTGACATACTATAAATCATCATAGGGTCCGTTAGGGGATAGAAATATACCTCTATACCTTGTGTGAAAAGATTGAATATTCATGAAATCATAGTGCATTCCTGTATGTTAGTATTCGTCATAGAGATATAGTTGAATCACATATTGGGGTAGGTTTGGCATTGCTCGAGAGAGATTGCTAAATTAAAATAGGAATATTGATTTATCATTTGTGGGACTGTGTCAAATTTGCATAATTGAAAATTAAATGGGTATTGCTTGGGAATTCGTGATCCTAGTGAGTTAGTAATTCCTTAATCCCATAAATTCTCATAAATTACATCCAGGTCATTTTGCATTTAGAATAAGTTCTTACTCATAATTAAATCATAATTCATATTTTCATTAGTCAAGTCACAACACAATAATCCTACTTTCATGTTTCGGTTAAGGTCATAATAGATTTATTTGAATTAATTTCATCCTTATGGGATCGATACTTGGACTTATAATCCATTTTACTACTTGTTAATGAATCGTACACTTGCAGTGAGTTTTAAATCGAAAGAAGTAATTTCGTGAACATATACCATCACATCACAATATCCTTCCAATACCATAAGATATCTTGTGAAATGTAATCCATAGGTCATGGTATATTTCAAATACATAAGGACCCCTGTCAATGCTACCTAATAATTTGGCTTGGATTACTCGTGAATCTACTAAGTTTATTCATAGCAAAAGCATTATCTAGTCGAATACAGTTCATAATATACATTAGAATGCCAATTACTTGTGAATATCTCAGTTGTGACACGCTTTCACCATAATTTTGACCAAGTGTAAACTTGTATCGATACTTCAAACGTTTTAAATATTTTCTCAACAAATGAGATTAGGAAAGTACAATTCCTTTCGATGTTCTAGAGATTTTTATCTCTAGTATTACATCTGCCACACCCAAGTCTTTCATGTCGTAATGCTTCGTAAGCATTTTCTTGGTGTTTAGCACCACTTTGTGATTATTGCCCATCATCAACATATTGACTACGTACAAACACAGGTATCTGGTATATTTTCCACGCATACACACTTGTCACATTCATTTATTTTGAACTCATTTGACAACATCGTTTTGTCAAACTTTTGGTGCCAGGAACTTGTTTCAGTCTATATAAGGACTCAACAATTTTACAAACTTTGTGGCTTTCACTTGGAGACACCTTTAGGTTGCTCAATGTATATCTTTTCTTCTAACTCACCATTTAAGAATCCCGTTTTCACATCCATTTGGTGAATCTAAAGGTTATGTATTGCCGCAGTTGCAATTAGTAACCTTATCAAAGTGATTTTGGTCATGGGTGAGTAGGTAAAGAAGTCAAATCCATCTTCCTGCCTATATCCTTTGGCAACTAATCTAGCTTTATATTTATCAATGGATCAATCAGGTTTTATTCATTTATACTCTAAGACTTATTTTAGGGAGGTATATCTACCAATTCCCATGTATGAATTTGCATTTTGGAATTTATCTCACTATTGATAGCTTCCTTCCAATGCGGTGCTTCTGAAATAAACAATGCTTCTTCAGAAGTCTTTGGGTCATTTTCTATCATATATGTTAGAAAATTCAGACCAAACGAAGTGGACGTTCTAGCCCTCTTACTACGCCTTGGTTTCTCCTCATTTGAAGATCCATTTGTAGTTTCATATGTTCTGTTATTCAAACTTACATTTTCCTTATCTTTGTAAGGAAACACATTCTCAAAAAATATCTCATTCCTTGATTCAATTATGGTACCCTCGTGTACATCCGATTTGTGTACAAGAAAACGATATGTACTACTATTATTGGCGTATCCAATAAATATGCAATTAATCGTTTTGTGGCCAATCTTTATTTGTTTGGGTTAGGGAACCTCAACCTTTTCCAAACACCCCCACACTTTTAAGTGTTTGTAGGAAGGATGATGACATTTCTATAACTCATATGGTGTCTCTTTCATTTTCTTGAGAGGTACAGAAAAGTGTAACTTT